GGAAATCCAACTCCAGCTGTGTTCAAGGTCATCCAGATGTGTAAACAATGACTCATCGGTGTTAAATTTCACAGAAGGGCGAGACAAAGGAAGTTAAACTTTGAAGCTTTTTCTTCAAAATTAACGCATTTCTTTTGTTTTTTTCAGTTTTAAGTATTTTTTACGTTTAATTACATTTATATCAAAAATTGCTAGGAACTAAAGTGATTAAGGTAGATCTAGCTGTCCTTTACATCCATAAACGTTATATATCAGCGGAACAAATGGAGTGAGCTTTGAGCATTCCACGATTTTTGGAGACTAACTATACGCGGGCTTCCTAAACAAGCCTATATGTATGTATGTCCAAGAAATTTTTGGATGAAATACAAACCGCACAACTTCAAAATCGCATAAAAATAATCCGCATAAAAAGAGACCTTACAGTAATTAGAATACAAAATTAGTTTTATCTTTGCAATAAATATATGTGACTTTAATATAAATCATTGTTAAAAATTATAATACCAATAAAGTATGATTAAATATAAACTTATGTGAAAATTCTTATAGCTTTATAAACATCCTCATAATTTCAAAAAAATTATTATTTATGAAAAAACTTATATCTGGCATAATTAAAATTTTTAATAAATATCAACAGCTTACTTTTAATGCTTTTATTTCAAGTAAGTAATAAATTAAATATCCCAAAGAACACATTGTAGCTATTACAACTGTATTTATAAATATAAGTCTGAAAATATACATGAAGGGATTTTCAATTACAACAATTTTGCTTCCTCTTCTATGGTGACTTAATTCTTCCTGAAAATAAAACATGATTAGATACATATAAGATTAATTTAAAAATCATATATATATATATACAGTATATAGACACAAACTAAAAGTAGAAATATATTCAACTCACCAAAAACCTTGTTTTAACACCAGCAGGCATTTATGTTTTTGCCTAATTATAGGTCTGCTTCATGTCTTAAACCTTTTGTTCTATTATGGAATTTGGAGAAGAGCAATGTAACATTTCAAACTTTAGAATGAATTATGGTAAAATTCAAAATCATGTTCGATGGTCTTAGTATAAATATATACATATTTAAATTGATCTGTAAGTTTGGATGTAGGAGGTAATCTCCAAAAGTACTCATCCGATTTCAAAAATTCTTTCACCAATATTTAAAATGGAACTTCAGGGTGGACATATGCTGTATATTATTCCATTAAACATTCATATAAATTAAAAGATATCATATAGGATTAAGGCTTTTATGTCCAACAGATGGTGCTAACTCTGAGAGTATGACGACCTAAATTTGCTTTTCTGTGTGGATGAAGTAAAGCAGATCATCATCTATCTATCTATATAAATAAAAATGTAACGTTCATTTGTTCCTACCGATTCCTTTGAAATTTTGACACAATGTTGCATTTGAATACGCACGTGTTTTTATATAATACACATGTTGAAATTCCCCACTGGGGGGCGATGGATAGGATTAAGGCTTTGAAGAACTTGGCTTCTATTATACTATTTTAGATGCGGTTTTTTGCGTTTTTGATTGTGTTTTAATAAGGTATGTCAAGAGAATGTACACTAAAAATGGATTTTTCGAAAAATTTCCCCCCATGGGGGAAGTGTTATACATTTATAATAGATACATTTTGAGCCACAACAATGAACCAAGAAAATGGATCTTATTAAGATCCATTTTCTTGGTTCCCATTTGGATCATCATAAAATATTTGACAGGCACTTGAAATCTTTACCTCCTCCTCACAAATGAGGCATTCCCTTCTCAATCACGCTTTGTAAATCTCTAGAGCTTCCATTGCTTTACCATGCTCTATGTGAATGATGTGTCCAAGAAGATTAACTTGTTTCAAGTTTGGTTTCAATCCTGTTTCAGAGGTATATATGGACAGAGCAAAAGTTTGTTTCATCTTTTCTATGTTGTATTTGTGTTCTGTAATTTGTTTAGTCCATAATCTGAGAAAAAAAAAGATCTAGTATATATCTATACTAGATCTTTCTCAAATCTTTCATCCAGTATCAAGATCTTATATATTCCTGGTGCTTTCATTTTATTCATGGGATCTTTACAATTATGTATGGCTTATATGCAGGAGAAATCCATCAATATATAAATATGACATCTCTATTTCTAGCAATTTCCTTATATACAGGATGAAATCGTATGACATATTCAATGATTATTTTAGGGATTGGGAGAATTTGTGATGGTGTATTTATTCCTTGCATTTGCATATATATGTGCTAGACATCAGATCATTCTTTTAGAATATCCATGTTCAATAGCAATACTATAGACTCTTGCAAATCCAGCCATTCCTTCCCAGGAATGTCAGATTAGTGAGAGTGCTGAATTACTAAGAAATAAAAGATGTCAGTTTAATTCTTTGTTAAATTTAATGCTATATGTTTACTGTCTTTAGTATACAAGTATTTAAAAAACAAATAAGAGACAAATACTTGTATATAGTAAAAGAAATTTAAAATGTAATACAGCACAATTGAAATGTTTCATCTACTCAGTATAGTCACTTCAAAAAATGTCATGGATTTTTATTTGCTTTAATGAAGATGCTCGTCGATGGCACACTGTCATGCAATCACTTTGAACACTGCAATCATTTATATCAGTAATGCATGTATCAAGTTGTTGCATTATATACTTCAGGAAAATGATGGCAGCTTTTGATCTAGCAGTGTGAGCAATATTTATTCTCTCTGTCTCTGTCTCTAATCCCTCTCATCCTGCACACTTTTGTTAATTTATTCATCTATTAAAGCCTGATCTATTAAACAATATTCCTCATTCAACCAATTAGTAACATCCTCTTCATCAACTTCTCCTTCTGGAAGCTTGTGGAACATATCAATGAACACAGCGTCGGAAATGATTCTGAATTGACTGGCTATCACTTGGTGCAGACTCAACACAGTGTCAATAAAAGACCATGCTTTTTTCCAAACACTTCACTATTGTAGTACTCTTCACAATGTCCCATGCTTCTGTTCTTTGGATAACATCATGCATATTGAGTGCTTCCATAGCTTTAGTAGAATCGTTTACACACTCATCCGATAGGGAGGTAAGTATTGCATGTCAATAGTGACACTTAATTGATTCCAAAATTCCCTGATCTATAGGTTGTCATATTTGGTGGGAGAAGCTTTTGTTAGACAGCTTGTATATCACCTGATTTCAGAGACAAGTCAGAGGGCTGACTGTGAGTGTTATCAATTAGGATGATGGCTTTTAATGGAAGTTTCTTTTTCTTACCAGATAAAAATTAAGACTCCTATCTATTTGCATTAATAAACTTTAATAATTAAAATACAAAAACACCAAAAAAACCACACACATACTTTTGACATTTATAGATGTCATCTTCAGGGGAAAAGAAACAAATTTTAGAATGTTAATATAATAGAAAACAGTAGTCTTAATTTTTATCTGGTAAGAATTATTTGGCATGAGAAGATAATTGTTTCTTTTACAGTTTCTTTTCTTCAGTTCTTCCTTCACAGCTGGTATGAATTTATCACGGAATCAGAGAGAAAAAATTTCTGAGTCCATCCATGCTTTCTTTTGAACACAACAATCTACTGGTAGTGTAATTGTCCTGCTGTGCTGAAAACATTGTGGCTATTGGGCTTTTCCAATCACCAGAAGAAAAAGTTTATGACTCCTATCATTGTTACAACATGCAACCAGAGTGATGCATTTTTTTTTATTGTTTACTAGCTGTGCCTGTGGTTTTGCCCACATGGAATTCAGTTTGTGACTATAACAGTATCAGTAAAAAATAAATATACAAATTTTTATCACTATCCCAAAGTAAGTACATGTGACCACAGGGTCGGCACCTCTTTGGCGCCCTGTCAGGACAACACCACTGTGTCTTAAGGACAGACACAGAAACCAGATTGGCCATTAATTTTCCTTACGCGAACAGTTGCGTGTGCGGATTTTTGGTTCGGGGATGGAGGCAGAAGGAGAGAATCAGAGGAATTACACTCTATAGATTTGCTTTATATACATAATACCCGTTTATTGTTCTATTTAAGCTATATACAAATCATATTCAATTTCAGTTAACACAGCTATTTCTTTCCCAATAACCCGTATTAATGAGAGAGAGTTCACATGTATTTCGCACGAGGATAAATATCTTGATATAAGTTGTCGAATAGTCGTTTCGTCCTCAAGTCTCTATGTGGCACAAAGTTCTTTCGAACGTTGATATTTGGTTTCTATGTGGCACAAAATTCTTTTGAACATTGATACTTCTTTAGGCGGTGATTCTCCTGAACGGCGGCAATTAGAATAGTTCTGGGTAGCGGCTAATCCGTTCACGTAAATCCACAGTTCACACCAAACTCCGGAGACTGTCTTTTTTGCATCAACCCTCCTTTTTATAAAGGGGGTATCGTTGGGTTTTTTTCACTGCCTTATTAGGACTGGGTTCCACCACTGACCAATAGTTGTTTGTTTTTGTCCTCTTTGTACATTCCGGGTGACACATTCGATGTATCATCTTTAACCAGGAACTAAGTCCGTGGGAAAACAATTTAATTATCTTTTTAAATGTCATTTTTGGTGTTTATTTCTCTAAACTTTTTCCCTCTCAACAAAAAATATTTAAACAATTTATTTCACTAAGTTCGGATCTCACATACAGTAGAGAATTGATTATCCGAATCAATTGGGGACTGGGGTTGTTCGGAAAATCAATATTTCGGATAACCGATTTTATACAAAAAAATATATTAATTTATCCCATATTGAAATTTTCTCCGTTGCGTGTCGCTTCGCGTTGAATTTTTGTCNAATATTAAAACTTACATATTCTAAATTTGATTTAAAATAATAAAATTATTTAAATGAAAAATATTCACTTTATTAACTTACCAAGTTAGAGTTTGGGTATATATCAAACTGAGAGTATTCCAAGCAATAGGAAATTCTAAATTTGAAACTAATTTAGGGAAATGTTTATGTAAAAAATGTCTAAATACTTCTCCAATGAGAACTTGGAATATCAGAATAAATGCGAAATCAACTATCAAAAGTCGAACAATTTCTTGACCTAGCATTGTCTCCCAGCACTAAACAGAAACAACAAAAGGAAAAACCATATTATTAAATACTTTTTAAAAAAAGTGAAATGTATACTATATATGAAAATACTTACAAAAGGATTATCATTCTTATTAGATGAGAAAAACCAAAAGTATACAACCATTCCTAATATAATTATTTCCAGGGTTACAATCCTAAAAAATTTTTCAAAGAGAATTATTCTGTCTTGATATAAAAATTATTAAAAATAATGTTAAAATTAAAATTATTAGTTTTTACAAAATTTCTTTACGAACAAAACAATTACAACGAGCTTAAAAATCACAATGAATGTACCTGAACAAAGTGAGATAAAGTTGAACTAACTTATCTTTCATTTCATATTTGGAAAGAAAAATATAAAACATTGGTACAACAAAAATTATGGTTGTAATTGTTAATGATATTGCCATTTCCGCTAAAAATTGAATGTTTGTCTGAAATTAAACAAGTACACAATGAAATATTTGACATAAGACTTCACTTTCAAGTATGACAATTTTTATAAATCATTATCATAATGTGACTATTTAATTATATTCAAATTTCATACAAATATCAAATAATAAATGATTTGTTCAACTGATTTGAAAATAAAGGTTTCACAAAATAGATGAGGCATAAAATTTAATTATTAAAGATTGTCCAAATACAGTA